TCATTTTTTGTTCAGTTTTTGTGTTTTATTTTTTTGTGTAAAAGTTGTTCCTTTATTTTTGGCATCTTTTAGTTTGTTGATTCGTTTTCGGGCCAACTGGGTCATATACATTTTTGATGAGTTGTCATTATTAAAAGCGAGAACTCACCCCCAGCAAGAAGGAATATATATATTTCTTGTGTGACAGTTGGCAAGCTAGAATATCAGTCTCTACTTTTACTTTTTACTTTTTTCTGTCTTATTGTTGTTTTTTGGCCATCAGCAAAAATGTTTATTCCCTACCCAGTACCCCGAAGACTTTTAATGTTTATTTGGACATGCCTTTGCAACTTTTGTTTCTCGTAATTTGTTTTGCCTTGAGTTTCCTTTAGTTTTTGTGGCTAATAACAGAATTGAGGCAACTGAGCTGTCCATTAATTGTGACACGAATTGTTATCAATTAATGAATGAATGAAAAGCAGAAATAGAGAGCTCGAATAGTACGAGTGCTTCTCTTTCCGAGTTCTTTCTGGCCTGCGTGGGCTGCGGAAATTGGCCATAATCATTTCTGGTCTATTTTATTCACTCGACACACCTACGCCAATGGCTTTCATTGTGTGGACAAGGGCTTAGTTTATTGGCCTTTATGTGTGATGAACAAAATTATGGGAAACGTGTCAATGAAACGAGAACGAAACCACTTTGTTGGACTAAATAAACCCCAATATATTTAGAAATATAGTCTTTAAAGAGCCTAATACTTGTTTCAAAAACTTTTTTTAAATAAAGGACCTATTAATGTCCTTCCTCAGAAAGGCCTTTAAAGCTTATATTTCATAGATAATCGTTTAAAGACACTTTTATGACTTTTTTATTTGCTTGACCTCTCCCAAATGATGTCATATTTTGTGCACTCACTCCTCCAACCGTGGCTGTGTCAACAAACTTGGCTTTGATATGAAACTCAGTTGATTGGGCACATCAGCACATTGCTCCAATCAGTTCACTTCCCTTCAATGTCTACCATATTCCCAGCCCCTCCAGCTGCCCCTCTCCTGCCCAGGAAAATCAAAGTCGCCGGGCAAAAGGTGTCCGAGATTGTTTTGACATTACTTTCAAATGTCAATCGCCTGTGATTTGATTTCTTCTTTGAGGCTTTCATCGACTTTGGCTAAATTGAGTTTCAGGTGGTAGTGGGAGATGGCAGGGAGGTGGGCTCTCTGTTGGGTCAAATGCGATAAAAGTAGATAATACAATCCAATTTAATGAGGTTAGACTGTGAATGGGGCGAATGGGGAGCACAAAGTCATATCCTGGGGTAGATTTTCTCCTCAGACCCCAAGGCAGAGTGCACCAGGGGTGGCGAATAAGGATTTGGGAGCTCCATTTTCAAAGGAACTGACAACAGGTTGTCATTGGTTTCCAATGAGCCTATCGATTTGGCAGGGACGACAAATTTGAGATGCTTAATATTGAATGCCCATTCACACAACGTTTCATAGCAGTAAGGTGGTTGACGGCAATATGTATTGACGAGAAAATCTTCAATTTTGTTAGCATGTACCTTCCTATTTTGAAACGCACAGTTTTTCGTAAATTATTTTCCAATCCAGCTTTTGTTCAAATCCTTCTCTGTGTTTACACACCTGACTTCATTTTGGGCACAGAAAATCCTTAAAGCAGCTTAAAGCGCCTGCTAACTGCCAGATAAAATAAATTCACAAAGGGCCTCTGGGCACACGTCGTTGGAGTTATTTAACAGCCAGCAGACAACATTTACAAACGTTCGATTTAACATAAATTTGACGCCACTTCCCTGCCACAAACCCAGCCTCCTGCCGCTCGCACATGCCCCGCCTGCCACCTGTCGGTGCTGTTTCTGCTGCTGTCATGCAAATTCCAATAAACTAAAGTACCAAAGTAGCGACTTTTTTGATAAAGAACAGACCGAGCAGCGAAAGCGACAGCAACCCCTCGAGGGCGGTTATATTTTGTATTTCTTTCCATTTTTTTTTTCTCTCACTTTTCTGACAAGCTATAAAATTTTTATCAGCATTACTTTTATTTTGACATCTCAGTGACATTTCGCAGAAAGTAAAGTAAAGTACTCGAGGCCAAAGTTCAACCACTTCCCCGAACTTGCAACCCCCCCCCAGAAAGCTTCACACACTCGATAAGAACGCCTTGGCAATGTGGGGCGTGGCTATCCTTTGAGGTTTCTGGCTGCTTTTTCATTTCCTAAATGGCTGTTTGACCTTTTTCGTACTCCAACGAAATTGATTTCCTGGACGATTTGTCAACCCCTTTTTGGCCTAAACTAAAATTTATCAGGCCAACAAAATTGCTTGGCCTACACAAATCTGAATTGCCGCTGACAAGGGTGTCAGTCCCAATTATGCATAAGTCCACCCCCTTTGTATATCGGGGGGGCTTTGCCAGAATTGGGGACCCAGAACCCATTTTCTGGCCAGGACCAACCTGTTGTTGATGGCGGTCCTGGTCTGCCTCTGTCGGTGGCACTTTCATTTTCAATTAGTTTGCCCAAGTGGGCGTGTGATTTTCAACACGCTTCTTAAAAAAAAAAACAAGTATAATAAAACAAGTATGAACGGGGTTGGAATTGTTAACGAATTTTGAATACTCATTAATTAACTAGCCAAGCCTTAATAAAAATTTGTAACTATTTAAAGCTAAGGATAGCCTTGCCGAGAAATGGTCTTCTCTTTTATATTAAAACCATGCTTTGCATACTTACATAGTTTTATTTTAAGCCTGTCTAAGGTGAAGCACAGAAAGCATAATTTTAAAATCAAATTTTCAAATATTTATAAAGATTTTCCATTAAGTCTTCATTTAAAATGTATGAGCCACATACTGAAGAAAGTGCACATCACACCCGTGATATTTCTAATATTAACGAGTACAACCTGAAGATGGGAAGTGTTTTTGAAAAGGGTGAAAGTCAGGGCCTTGCCTAATGTTTTTTATTATTATTATTATTGCCGAGTCCTGGGTCCTTTCTGGCCCCGCTGATAAGCCTTAATGTGTTTGGCGCGCGGTGTTTCAATAAAACTTTATCATAATTGACATTTTAATGGGGCTGGCAAAAAAATAAAAACACATTTTATCCACAAAGACTACGGCAGACTTCCTTGCCGGCAAGTGTTGAAAGTAATTTTATATTTATGAAACGGTTTGGTTTTGTGAAAATAAAAGGCGTTGAAGGGACTCGGCTCGTAAATTGTACTGCGGCTGAAAGGTGCATAATGTGTGATAAGTACACAGGAATAATGGATGAGTTGGGTTAAAATGGGTTGCTTTTTCTCCTAATGCCACTAAATGTTTATAATTTTAGACAGCCGTGCATTGTTTTTACAAGACTTTAAGTTAAAGAATAAAATAGAAATGATTGAATTGCTAAAAAATAAAACTGAAAGCCCGTTTTCCATTCCGTTTGATGAATGACTTTGTGAAAATTCAAACAAAATGTGTGAAAAAGAGTGAAAATAAAATATTTATCAGCTCCATCAATCAGTGAACCTTTCCAGCCAACAAAAAGCAAATAAAAATGCTGGCTCGCTGTGTGAGCTACCAAGGCTCCTGCGATAATATCAACGGCATCCTGACGCGTGACTATGCAAAGGTTCGTATAAAATATCAAGGAACAAGACTACTAATGGAACTAAATTAATTAGTCGATGGAAAAGGGTAACGTTCTGTGCTCAATATGGCAAACTAAATTGAAGTGACACTGTGGAATGGAAAATGTAGCTCCATAAACAAAAGCATCGCATATCCAGACAGACTCGGACTCGGAGGGGAGTCCGTCCGGAATCAGAAGAATGGGTGCTTGCAGTCTATGAAAGTACCATAAGCCAGAGTTGCCACTGTTGCCAGTGACAGTGACATTCGCCCGGCTATTTTCCACTAACAAGTTTTCAGTTTATTGTGGAAAATCCAATGCCAAAGCCAAACCGAAAGCCAAAGCCAAATCCCGAGCCTAAAGCAAAAAAGTCTGGGGGAAAGTTGCATAAGAGAGCTCAAAGTCCTGGGCCAAGTCCATTGTTATGTGCTGGGCTGTGTGTCTGGGCCCTTTGAGATGTAAAGCTGGCTCGTAACTTGGCCGTGGCAACAAATGGAATATGGCTAAACAGCCGAGGCCAGAACAGAGAAAACACAGAACACATGGACAATAATAGAATGGGAGCTAGACAAACAGAAGTCGCTTGAATGGCAGAAGGCTGGCAAAAGATAGCAAAAGTACAATGCAAGATATTTTTATTGCCAAGCAAGGCGAACATAAAATGTGTCGCATGCATATGCAGGAGGACAGGACAGCGGCCAGGAGGGGGCTGCCACATTAGGATTACCACTGGCAGGGGTTATAATAAAACTATATAAGGATGTGGCCAACGATGTGAGGGCAGCAAAAGTCTGCAAAGCTAATAAAGCCTCGGCCAAAAAACAACATGTGTATATGACAAAGTTCAAATACTCTAAAGATTAGGTTACATAAAGTTAGGGAAAGTTTTTCTGGTTAAGAAAAAAGGAGTCTGCACAAGTTCATTTAAACTTAAAATAATATAAATTTATTTTCCAGTCCTCCGTAATAGTTAAATTTATGAAATCAAAATTTTCCAGACAGACATGAGATAAAAACATGAAGGACATCCCGAAAAGTAAGAGGGCTTGAAATAGATGGAAAAGGATAAGGCTAGAGGGACTGCCAAACAAATATAAAAAGGATTTTCCGTTTTAGCCAAAATGTTGCACAGCTTTTCTTAACGACTTCCAAAGGGCTCTTTGGGAAAACTGTCTTCAATTTTAATTTGTTTGCCCAACGCCTGGTGCATATGTTGCTTCTCGTAGGATGGCTAATGATTTCCTGATAACCAAATTGTGTAAAAGATTGCAACTTTTGCTGTGCATCACAGCTCTTCTCTTAATTACGTCCTGAATGGGCCATTAGGCACTCGTTTAACCAACATTTAAATTCATATACTTTTTGATTACTTTTACAGATCTACACAGACTGGGCCAACTACTACTTGGAACGTGCCAAATCAAAAAGGAAAGTCACCGACCTCTCGGCCGACTGTCGCGATGGCCTCCTACTGGCCGAAGTCATCGAGGCGGTTACCACCTTCAAGGTGCCCGATCTGGTCAAAAAGCCAAAGAGTCAACAGCAAATGGTAAGTCACATGTTTTTTACTGTACTAGTAGTTCTTCAAAAGAGAACCCAACAAGATGAATAATCTGAATTAAAGTCCAGTCAGTGACTAGCTGAAAATCCTTTTGGCATTTTCGCATTTTATCCTTGAAAACGTGAAAAAATCTAAGCGTTAATTACTTCACCCAAAAGCTCCATGAGTCAGTCTTCTTTTTTCGCTTTAATTGTTTTTGTACACGACAAATAGAGAAGTCGGGAAAAAAGTGGGAAAAACAGTGCAAAGGCGGCTAAAGCCCAGACCATTATACGGCATATGCAAATGCAGGAGGCACAACGTGGAAATATTCACCCACTCCACACACACACACACGTTCGAGTGTGGTGTGGATTTGAAAGGTAGATCCGTCATTGGGCTGTTGGCCGCACCACCACGATACCCAGGTACCACGGGGCGTATGACAAACTTTTTCATCCGTGCTGCGGCGGCTCGGAATTCAGTTACGAGTCGGAAAATGATGATTTCCGCCGCACTAAGCAATCTGGCGGCAGGTGGCAACTGGCTGGTGGCGTCTCTGATTGAATTGGAATGACGATGATGATTTGGGAACAGCAGCGGTTGCTGCACTTCACTGCATTTATGAAATTAAAATTAAAACTGCAAACTTCTCTCCGTGTTTCGAAAAAGGAGTCGAGTCCCAAGTCGATTTTTGTGCTTTTTTTTCCTCCTTCTTTACTTTTTTTTTTGTCTGGTACGTGAGATGATTGCCCAAAATGCTTTCGCTAGGCTCTTTCGCGCTTAGAACCTAAAGGCTCCCCAAGGTTCTTGCCACTTCTGCCTCGGCATATATCCTTTTTTTTTTTTTCTTTCAGTAAGCTTTGAATCTGCGGCAAGTTCATTGCCGATATATAAACAGAACTGTGAACTGCGAGAAAGCAAAGACTGAGGCGACTAAAAGCGGGTCCATGAAATAAAAATTTATTTCAACTTTGTCAGTTTTTGGTTAGTTGACGTTTTGCATATTAAATAGCCACGAGGGACTCTTAGACAGAGATGGGGCACAAGGCCAACAAGTGAGATGGCAATAGACAAAGTCTTTGAGAAAATGATAAGCTCAGCTAAACGTGCCCCGTTGTGGCACGTGATGCACCAAATAAAAAGCGAGAAAAAAAAACACAAAACAAAAAACCAAAAACGTGAAAAAAATAGCTGACAAATTGCCAACAGCGAACTTGCCTCCAAAAAGTGGGCGTGGCTGTGTCGCGTTGACGTATGTGACATGGGCGCCAAATTGGGTTTATTCGAGTTGAAGAAGCTCCGAAGCCGAAGCAGGAGCAGGAGCCATCATCCAGTGCAGAGCAATGCATTTCACATTTTTCTATATATATATCATTGACGAGTTGGTGCCTGGTGGCTGGTCTAACAAACTCAATTTGCCAATTTGGCTGACAAATATAGACGGGAAAAATAAAGCCAAAATTAGTTGGTAGCATGCGAGATGACAGTGATTGTAGGTGGTGGTGGGTAGGTACTAGGTGGGTGGCAACTGTAGGTGCATATTTATGATTCAGTGAATAGAAAAAGACTCGAACATTTTCACGGCAAATGGAGTGAAACACATATACAAATATGTGTTTAGGCGAAAATTAAACCTCTATATTTGCTGGGAAAATACAATTTTAGAAAACCTGCTCACCTTTTAATAATTTAAACTAGGTTTTTAGGGAAAAGTACTGTGGAAAGTGCTATGAACCCATTATATGACCTTTAAGCTTAAGTACTGCAGGCTCAGATCTATCCTGGTAGTTATAGTCCCATCCTGCATACATATCCTGACTCATAACAATGGCCATATTCCTTCTCTTTCGATCTCTGCCTTCGTGTTTTCCATTTCAAAGCAAGCAAACAAAGGCATTTGAAAAATTTTCCCATTTACAGGGCGGTGCTTTTTGTTGCAAGCCGGAAACTGCTTTCCACAGCGCCTCCCCTTTCATTTCCCATTTGTTTTTCATATTTGCATGGGAAAATGAAAAATCTGCACCCTAGCCGAGACACAAACCAAGTGCAAGTAACTCAAAAATGAAAACGTAAAGGGAAAAAAATTGGTAATAAAAACCTGTGGCCAAGACACATTGGAACAAATTCAATAAAAACAAATAACACCGTGCTGAGTGCATTGAGTGTAGACTAAAGTAAATTTTATCAACTTTTAAATCAAATATTAAACTTTGGCTAGCTTTCTCCTTTTCTTTCGAGCGTGTTTCAGTCCAAACTTTGTAATAAACTTTTCTTAGTCTTTCTTCCCCAACAACTCCCAGCCCACTTCTTTTTTTCTGGCCACTTTTTGCAAGTGCAAACTTTACATGAGGGTTTTCATTCCGCTTCTTTTTTCTGCCCTGCAACACGTAGTGCACATTTTTTGTCCGACTTTGCAGCGTTTTTCTAATGAGTGACGACGAACCAAAAGAGCCGAAGGACTCGGGCCAGAGTCAAATGTGGCTGGAACCACACAGCTTCAGCGGCAAAAGGCAGATGGCAGTGGGAGAAAAAGTGAGAAAAAATGGAAAACGAAACTCTTGAAAAATCAGCGAAACGTAAAAGTGTTCAAAGTCAACTTTAGCGACGGCTCCGACTCCTGGCAACGCCTGGCAAGTCAAAGTCGAAGCAGTCCACCAAATTAAAGGCCACGAATATACATAGTCTTTAAGTCGAATCACCTAAAATGCTTGTTGCGGGCCAAAAGTTTTCGCAACTAACAGCAGAACAAGTTGTACGAAACTTGAATTAACCATGAAGGGTTGAGCCGGAGTCGTTAAGACAGTTTTATGAAATCGTTAGCGACATTCTCCATACTGTGGTCTCGAATGCGAAACTATATAATGACTTTGTTGGCATTGCACTCGAAACAAAGTTTAATGGGAAGCAAATTTGATTTTAAATCGTATTGAAAATCCTAACTCCCACAAAAACTAATTCAAATATATAACTTTAAATTGATTTCCCTCTTGCTGTGGCTTTAAAGACCCAGTCATTGCCGTAACAAAGAGCAATTTGTGCAAATTTAACTCAAATGAATTTTACTTCGCTACTAATTTGATTTCCACTCTGAAGCTAAACAAAGGGAGCGTGTGGAAGCTCTAAGCCAAAAAGGTAAAATGGCCAGCTCCTCCTCTTCTTTACACACACACACAGCTCGGCACTTGAAGATTTTCCCAATCAAGTATGTAAATAACGCAAATGTATGTGCTAGCCGAGCCTTAAATGGGAAATTAAATCAAAATAAGCACATGCTGTGTCTAATATAATTGCCAGTCTTGCAGTCTTTTGTCCGAACGGTATCCTTCCGTCCTGTCTTTTGCAGGCGACCGACAACAGGGAACGCCTTTTGTAGCCAATTTCTTCCTGCATTGATTGGCCTTTGTTGTTTTTACCGGTATTTTCCATAAGCTGTTTTCAGTTATTAGCAGGAGGCAAACATTCATAACAGTAACAAACAACAAACAGGCCAATTATTATGTAATTAAACTAAAACAATAGCCCAGATATAATGCGCTTCAGTGATTTGTCAGTCCTTTTTACAGAGAAGTCCTTGTTCTTGTCTAGGCCATTGTTGTTTCGACTTAAAGTTTGTTTGGAATCAGTCGGGCTTAAATATTAGCTTGCAAAAACCACTACCATAAATGGATGCTTTTTTAAATACAAACAAATATAATCCCCCACTTTCCAAATCGGCTTAACGAATTAATAAAATTTGTAAAGCAAAGTTTACCATTTTTGATAATAAATGCGTTGCATTATTTGTGTAATGCAACTATTTTTCTTGTTTGATGCCACTTCCATTTATTTAAACTTTGAAGCCCACTTAAGTCGAAAGAGATTGCATAAAAAACCATCCTGAAAAATCCTGAACAAGCTTTATTCCATCTATTTTCCCTGGCCAAGTCCTCACCTGTCGGGCTATCTCAGGGCTCGATGTTCAATGGAAAAGCTTACGTCTGCCGTATCTAAAATGAAATCTGCTTAGGTGGCACGGCAATGGGAGAAATGGGAGACTCTTACCTGGACTCGGTCCTGGTCCTGGACTGAACATGCAGCATCTGGCCTCAAATTGAAGTTCATTAATGCAGCACGACTTTGATTTATTTTTAGGGAAATTCCTCTCATAGCCCACATAGTAGCTCAACGGCCTGAATCGCATTCCTTTTTATTCCTGCACCGTTTCCTTGGTAAACAACAATGCAACGTTTTTATGGCAACATTAACGTTTACAATCCCACAATTGCTGGTTGGGGGCTAAGCTTTTTCCCCATGTTTACTTCAATTGGCTAAATTTAGTCGACTTCGGCTTGCCCAATCTCCTTACGGGCCGCAACAAAAGGGCAACTTTACGAGTTAAACAAACAAAATAAAAATTTACTCTGCATTTTTCTATGTTTTGCAATTCACAATTGCGTGGCATGAGAACAAAAAAATACAAAAAAAGTTTTGTAACCACAAATCAGGCGGAAAAAACTTTCTGGGCCTGGTTAGCCAACCAGGAGGCAGGAGGGCCTTCTTGCACGTGCAGCATCCATAAATTCCAGAAAATTAAGTTGTACCAGGACAGGGAAATTGGGAGGTGCAAGTGGGCGGGGCAACCAATCAATGGCTGCGCCTTCTGTGTTGCATAAATTAGTTACGGCACGTGATCCGGCCCGGTCTCGGGCAAACTTTCAAGTACAGTTGCCGCACTAAACTTTAGTCACCGACACCCACTCTCCCGTCCTAATGTGCCGATTCTTTTCAATTATAAATATAGCAACTCTAAGCCTTGTTTAGGTCTCGTATAAGCCAATGTTGGAGGGTCATAGTGGCAAGTGCACTTGAAATAATTTCATTGCTCATACGCCCTGTGTGACACGCCACTCTAAGACCTCAAACAACTTTTCGGCAACAATATTACTTTTCTTTATTTGATTGTTTCTTTTGAAGTGGCTGAAGGTTAAAGCAAACAAGGCATATTTAATGGCATATAAATTGTTTAT